TTGCATCTCCTGAAATCCCAATTGCCACCTAGGTATGAAACAACTTCAAGTGATGATTCCAGCTCAGATGAAAGCTCTTCTTCCGAGTCAGATGATGAGTGTGATGTCATTGAATATCCTCCTGAAGAAGAGGAGGAGGAAGAAGAGGATGAAGACACTCGGGGAATGGCAGAAGGGCACCATGCAGTTAATATTGAAGGTTTCAAGTCTGCCAGGGTGGAAGATGAAATGCAGGTTCAAGAATGTGAACCTGAGAAGGTGGAGATCAGAGAGAGGTGTGGTACATTCCCCTTTCCTCCCCGACCTTCCCGTGTTTAATGTACTTTGGCAACAGAGTTGGCCAGTTCAGAGATTGTGCAATTACATCTATTTGGTCTTATCTGTTCCTCAGAGGTATGCACATCTCACTGAGATATTAATAAATACAAGTGCAGAGTGTGGTAACTCTTGGATATCTTATGGTAGCAAAGAGAATGGCTTTATATCTAATCACATTCGTTCTCTGAAACTCTTTTTGCTATCTAATTTTACATTTGAAACCACCATCCACTAAAGCTTCCATTGTTTGAACATCTCACCTTATATTTAAAGACATATTTGAATTTTTTGGTGACCAGAACACAGTTTTTTAAGATTTCAGATTTTATCTCTAGCCATTTATGTTTATATGGGTGTCAATATTATTATTACAGGATCATTGTGTGAGAAACAGTTGTTTGGCCTCAACCATAGATTACATTTACTGTAAAGATGATACGTATCACTTACATGTCCATATGTTGTACGTTGAGTGTTCAGGAACACAAAAATGCATTAAGGAATATTATAAATAGCAGCTGAAATAAAATATCAAACACTCGTTGGCTGAAACATGAACCTAAAAATGTAGTAAGTTTTCAAGACTATTAGCAAATATGGATTTTGTGCTCATAAAGCAGGAGAGAATAGAATGGAAAAGATGGAAATTTCAGTGTGGTTTTTCACTATGTGAAATATAAACAGGACATTTCAGGAAACTTACCTCCATTTAATTTGGCAAATGAAAGTTTAACTGCATTAACACAAGGTAAGTGTTTTTAGTTTGTATTTCCAAGTGTTTTCAAATGGCTCAATATCTTGTCATCTGTTTTTTTATTTTTTTTTAACGGCTTCAGATGTAATTTCTGTACCATATGTCATCTGATTTTTTTAGTTTAATTTTTTATATGGGATAAACAAACACTTCTTAAGTCACCAAATGTGGGTTCAGATGTGTGGTTTACCGGTAAGCATAATAGATATAGGGTAATTTGGAAGTCTTCAACCCCTTAAAAGTAAAAATATGGTTAAGAACTTAGAAGAGGAGGAAAAAAATCTCCAAATGTTATGCCATAATGTTGTAAAGGCCAAACTGGGGAAACCAAAAATATCCTCATAAAAAGACCTTGAGCTCTGGCTGGAGGTACTGGCTCTGCACGGTGGCATCAGTCCTCACACACTTGCAGATGCCTGGGGTACCTCTAGCCAAGCACCCTGCACCATCACAAGGTGCAAGGCTGGCCTAGGCTGGCTTTGGGACCACTTGTTTTTTAAAGGGTAATATAGGATTAAGATAAAAATTACTTTCCTCTTGTTGGCCAGTCATGAACATGAGCTCTCTTTATTTTTCTCCCGTTTTAGGTATGAGTTAAGTGAAAAGATGTTGTCTGCATGCAACTTACTGAAAAATAATATAAATGACCCCAAAGCTTTGACCAGCAAAGATATGGTGAGTTTGACCTAAAGGTACTGTCCCCAGTTTGCACAAAGTGCCCAGGTGGGCACCACTGTCAGTGCGGTCATGGCCTGCCCCTGAGCTGCTGCCATTTGCGTGCTTGTCCCCTTACTGTTTCTAGCAGGAGTGCGCAGAGTGAGCATTGTGCTGCCTAGTTCGCCAGATCACGCTGTGAGTGTTTCCCTGAATCCCCAGCTTTGGACATTCTTTACCCATCCTGTACTTTTCTTGGGGTGGAGTCATCTGTGAGGCATATACTTGCAGAGAGAAGGCTGGGCTAATTGCAGTCAATTGTCTTCTTTCTACATATTCCACTTCTGTTTACAGAACGTTATGATCCAGGGAGCAGCATCTCAGAATTTTTTTAAGTTAGCATGTTTTTAAAAGAAACCTGTCTGGGCTGAGGTCAGCATTCCTTTCAGTTATGAAACTGTATATTATGTTCTGATGTGGAATGCAGGCGGCCACGATTTTTTAAACATAAAAATAACTGCACTTGTCATCTTCTCACAGTGTGAGAAATTCAGAAGCAAATAGCAAAGAGGTTGTGGTTGCCTTAGTGATCAAGAATAGCACAACATAGAACACATAAATATTTCTTATGGCAATGGTTAATCTGATGTCATTGCCAAGTATGACACTCTCTCATGCACTGACGTTTTTATGTGTGCAGACTCTTTCATAGGCCAGGCCAACCCTCTGGTTGATAGCTCTGTCTTCAGTGCTTTGAGAAAATGTAGTTGGAGGACCTCC